TGGGCGAGTCCGAGGATGGAGAGGTACCCTTCCCGCCTGTGCCTGCCGAAAGCGGTGGCAGGGTGAGCCGCAGTGCCCGCAAAGGTAAGAGGTATGGATTTTGCACTCAAAGGTGACGTGTACGTTTAGAAATTGATGCCATGTGTGTCAAAATCAGATCGATTCCAGTTGATATGTAAATATATGTATGTGTGTGTGTGTATATATATATATATATATAATCATCATTGAAGTTCCAGAGTAGATTTACATGTATGTAAAACCTTGGATTCTTGTAGTCCCGCCAGATACACACCTCCTTCCTCCACATAACCCCGTGGCTTGACCTTGTCAAGGACGAAATCTGAATTTAATCTCGTCTTGAAAAACGCTATGAGTTTTAAAGTAGTGGATTAGCTGAGTAATACTGTAATCGGTCCCTGTTAATTTTTTTTTCTTTCATTCTTCTGTTCTGAAACCATATTTTCACTTGGCGGTCGGTCAGATTGAGCATTCGGGAGAGCTGGAGGCGTTTATCTTTGTTTATGTAGACACTGAAGAAGAATTCTCTTTCTAACTCTCTAATTTGATATTTGGTGTATGGGCACCTCTTCTTACGGGTACGTTGTCCACCTGTGGAGTGAAAAAAGGCAGAAGCGTTTTGAGACCCGGCGGTGGCTGGCGACGGTGGCTGAGAAGGGGTGAGGGGGGGACGACACGACGACTCAGACAAAACACATTAACATGGAAAAGGATCGTTTTGTCCGCTCCGGGGCTGGGATTAGCAGATCCGAGGTTGGGGACCAGCTCTCCGCCCTGGGTGTGAGCAGCCCGGAGCCGGGTTCCACTGGGAGCCGGCGCGGCCGCTGGCAGGGCGAAACCCCCGCCGAGCCGCCGGGATCCGGCCTTGCCGGAGGCCGCGGGGAGGGCGACCGGAGGGAGGGGTGGTGGCGGGGAGTTCCTGCGGATTTCACGAGCTGGAGGAAAGCCTTTGTAGGCTGCTCTGCTCCGCCTGGACGCCGCGCATACGGAGCCGCCCCGGGAGCAGCCATCACCTGGCCGCCTGCACCAGGCGGGACCTCATCGGGCAGGGGAACCCCGAGCCCAGCCCTCCCGAGCCTGCACCCGCCCGGATCTCGACCTCAGTCCCCAGGCTCATCCCGGCTCCACGTCCCCAGCAGAGGAAAAGCCCCTGAGTCCAAGGTTCAAGAGCCTCATTCTCCCCGAGCCGCCTGTTTTTAAAGCACACTCTCCACCGCATCGAGGTATTCTCCTCTCGATTAGCCATTACGGTTTTAAAGTTCATTAAGCAGAATATAAAAGGTTTCAAGGTTCAGGAGCTCTTTACATTAAATGTAGCTGCTATCCCTTTAAAAACTTCCTTTTCTGGTACAGTTAATTGTCGAGGTATTTTTTCCCCGAGCTGTATACTAGGTTTGCCTTTTAAAAAGACCACATAAAAAAATCACGCTTTGACAGATTGAATAACAATTGTAAGTAACAAACTGTTGGACAGAAGGCAACACGTAATTGCCACAATGCCTTAGTAAAATGGCTTCCTTTAGACAAAAAGGCCAGCTTTAGGTTAATTTGTTTCTTTTAATATATTGGTGCAGTTCAGGCGGCTACTTTATCTGTTAAACACTATTCTAGTGCAATCGTTAAAACGGCGAAGGCTTTGAATTCAGCTCCTAACTAGACTTCTGGTTCAACACATGGCTTTTATAAAATCACTGGATTACATTGATATCAAAGGAGTCAGGATCTCCTTCTTTGCCGAATTTACAGGCACCGAACATACGTTATTATATTTTCAAGAGTTGACCACAGAGCTCTCTTTTATTATTATTTAAAAAAAAAAAGAAGGAGAAAGAAAAAAAAATTAAGGCATCCATTGCCCGGTGGGTATTTCACGGCCAATTTCAGCACTAAACACGTGATCTCGCCTTTTATAACAAAGTTTTGCTGGGGGAAATCTAAAGGCCCTTCATAAACCTTATATGCTTATAAAACAGCATATAAAAATTTAACAGCGGCGGTGCGCTAGATTTCAAGCTGCCTTTCCGAAAAGCGCTCGGGCGCTGCCTTTATACGTACTGGAGCTGCCGGATTTCTCCTCATTGTTGCCGGAAGATGACTCGGGGCTGCTGCTGCTCTCCGGTCGCCTTCGTCTCTCCTTCTCCACCGCCGCCGCCGCCCGGCTGCAGCCGCCCTCCGAACTTGAAGTTGCCGCTGCCGCCCCGGCGGCCGCGGTCGCCTTCTCGCCACTCTTGTCTACCGGGTAGTCCGTCGAGGCCAGGTTTTCCGCCGTGCCATAAGCCGTCTCGAAAAACTGGTCGAAAGCCTGGGGTAGGACCCCGTTCCTGCCCACCGTGCTATAGAAATTGGAGGAGACGTTGGTGCTGGGGTGGTAGACGTTAGCTGTGTTTTTCCCGAACATCTCGCCCATGCTAGCAGTGTTGGTGGCAGGCAAGCAGTCTCTGTGCATGATCTCCTCTGCGGAGTAGCAGTGGGGCAGATTGTTCCTGGGGTGCCATTTACTGGAGGGATCAATGGCATATTCCCTGAAGGTAACTTCTCTCACAGGTTGGACCTGGGGTAGGTTGGAGGAGTAGGAGTATGTCATAGGGCGAGAAGACGGGGTCTGGGGCAAAAAAGAAGGGAGGCTGGAAAAATCAGGACCCGAGACGTAGTAAGTACAACTTGGCAAATACATGTTAGAGGAACAAGGAACACGCTCATCAAAATCCATCATTAGGGCTACCTCGGCTTCTCCGCATTAGCTGAGCTTAACATGATTCTCTAGCGCAGCTGCCTCTTTGAAGCAGATCCGTGAAGTAAGAGATGGGGAGACGTAAGCTGACGTGGAAAGCTCTCCCCGGCGGCGGCAGGGAGGTGCGGTCACGTGGCCCGACGTTGACATTGACGAGCGGCGGGTCCGGGCCCCGCTCCCTTTGTGGCCACCGCGGGGGGAAGCAACAGCTCGCCCCAGCGCCTAAGGGCGAGCCTAGCGCGGGTCGGCCGGAGGGGGGCGAGATTTGGGAGGGGGGGATACACAAAGCCGCCTCGCCGCTGCCCCAGACGGAGTCGCCCGGCTCCCGGCCCGCGCCGGCTCTGGAGCATAGAGGCGTAGCGGTCCACCCGGGGTTAGGTGAGACCTTTCTGTTTGTCCGTGTGCTGGCTTGGGGCGCTCGGCGGCTGCTGGCAGGCTGCGAGGCAGAGGGCACAGAAGAGATGCAGGCACAGTTTCTCCTGGGAAGCTGCTTCCGAGCAGGAAACGCTTCTGAAGTAATCGGCCGGCTTTCCCTATTCTCCTCCGCCCTCACCCCGCCTTTTTTTTTTTTTTTTTTTTTTTTTGTAGTGTATTTTGGTTCGGTTTGCCCCCCCCCCAAAAAAAAACCAAACCCAAATCCTCTCCCCGCAGGGTTTTTCTGGAAACGGTACTAGGAAGAATGTGCCAGGGTCAAGTCTGTACCGATTTTCATGGTGAATAGATTACATGCTTGCATTCATGTTCACTTCCGAAGCGCTTAGTGTCTTCCTTTCCTTACTTACATATTAACCTCAAATACCCTGCGCGGTTTCAGCCAGGCTTTACTGGAGGCAGTTAACAATGTCGGGTTCCCTGGACGCAGGTTCTGTCTCCTCATCCCGCTCCAAACCCTCCCTCGCAACGCCAGAAAACCCTTTAAATCGCAGACCACGGAGTGTTTGCTGATTTCTCCGCCTCAACGCTGCCGCTAAATACTTGGAAAACCAGGGTATGGTGGGCTACCCTGGCTTGACAAATACTCCAGGTTTAATTACCAGAAGCCTAGTTAAAATTATTTGACGTACTGTTAGCTCCTAGGAACAAACTTGCCGTACCGAGATACTTTCCTTTTTGCTTCGTACCGTCGCTGAAGGCTGAGACCTGGGGAGACCTATTTTAAAAACGTGGTTAAAATTTTACTATTGTTGCATGAAAAGGATGATATAGAAAGAGGATTGTACAGGGCAGAGACTAAAAAGTACTTCTCTGCCAATAAAAATGCACACCGCACCGAATAAGGAGGGCCAAAGAAAACAGAGAAATGCGCCAAAGAATACAGCACCTTTTGAGACACGGACATCCCTAGGCTCTCGGAAAAAATATTTTTTTGCTATTCTGATGCTCGATTTCAGAAAAGAAATATTTGGGTTCCGGCTGGATTTCATCAAAATAGAAAAACAGAACGGCAAAAGGCTGTTGTGAAGTCGATGCTCTTAGGGAATTAGACGTAGTTCAAGATTCATGCCCCCGTGGACTTCGGAGACTAATGGAAGGGAAACGAAAATGTTAGGCAAAGACTATTTGGATTTCCCCCCCCTTCCTCTGCAGTGCTGTAGAGTATTTATATATCCGGAGAAAGTTCTCTAGTAAATTCTGGAGATCTTTGGTATTTAAATGTCAACATCGATTTGTTTATTTATTGCTTAGCTTATCGTAACTGACTCAATAACAAATCTAATCATGTTCTGCACAGAGAAAATATTCTCATTATGTATTTT